AATTATTTTTAATTATCATACGAATAAAACTAAAACGACTCTGTCGCTTATAAACCAACTCCGCCACTTATATTATTTTGTCAAACATTCGAGTCAATTAGTTTCAACTTAGTTTTCTCTGTTTTAGTAGCAAGTTTGTGAAGGCAAATTCGACTTTTCTTTGTTGACAGTGATTTGTCTAGATTTCATAGGGACTCGAAGAAGAGTTTCGAAAGAGACGAAAAGTTTTGACGTCCGAGTACTTGAAGCTTTGAGACTTGATATAGATATCCTACAAGATCTAACTTAAACAGCTGCTCAAAGTTATTAAATATAGAAACTTTTAATTTGTTTAATGGGCTTTACTATCATCGGGGCTTTTGTAGAGAACTCCTCCTACCTCCTTCGTTGACTTTGTACAATCGAGGCGACTAGTTCAGAAAACTAATAGCCAACACTCTTAGGGTTCATATGCTAATGGGTCAAGAAGAAACTAAGAATTTGACTTTATTGTCTTACCTTCCGGTGTACATACATATAACAGCTTGGACTTTCAGAAACTTTAAACTTTGGGACCTGATTCAGAATCTGTACAAGATATATCTGACCCAGTTGCTTAGTGTTAATATGTATATTAGTGTTAAAATATAAGGACTGTCAAGACGGCTAGTTAAACTTCGGAGCGTAGAAGTTTATAGACTAGCAAATAGACTAAACAATAGTCTTTCCAGTGCTCTAGTCAATGAAATAATACATAAATGTAATATTCCAATCAATAGAGTAGTCCTAGGACTAGTCAATAGATAACTCTCTGGATTACTCAATGGACAACAAATGAAGTAGTTTCATAAGGTTGTGGAACAGACTAGTCCATAAACGGGTTAATAGAAATTTTAAATAAAAAATAAAGCAGTTCTTGGTTATATAAAGTCGTTGGTATCAGAGTTCAAATTATTTAGCTAGAATTCTCTACACAGAGGAATAAAAATATACGCGCCTGGTACCAAATTGACAAACATGGTAAGCTCACTATTTACAACTCATTTTGAGCTTACCACGTTTGTTAACTTTTAGACAACGGATGTGCATAATGTTTATATTGCGACAACGAATTATTGCAATGTTGACAAAGTTGTGTGGTCTATATTACATGTTGTTGTTGTATGTATGCATATACTTGACAATGGATGTTATTGAAAAATTTGGTGTCAATTTGGTACCAGGCGTTTATATTTTTTTCCTCTGTGTAGAGAATTCTTCCAAAATTATTTGAATTCTGATACTAGCGACTTTATATAACCAAGAACTGCTTTATTACAATTTTTTATTTAAAATTTCTACTAATGCGTGGTCTACATTACATGTTGTTGTTGTATGTATATACATGTCAACGGATGTTATTGAAAAATTTGTTGTCAATTTGGTACCAGGCGTGTATATTTTTTTCCTCTGTGTAGATGGTTCTGCAATTAATAATGTAGTTGGACATTTCTTTTATTTTCCAGATTTGTACCACTGTAACTTGATATTATTAATATTTCAAGTTACAATTGTTATTATTTAAACATTACGTCTATCATTAAAATTTTATGTTATTTAATATGCTCAAATGTCTAAAAGAAACTGTATATGCGAGGGTAGTTTAAATTATTTTCCTTAAATAATTCAAATTTTCATCAATATTTAGTTGATGCAAAAACACTTAAATTGTATCTCTAAAGAAAATAATCTTAAAGCTATTTTTAATTTTGACCAACAATTATTTGAAACTTTTGTGGAAACTTATTATTATTTAACTTACACCAAAACTTTAAAACAAAGTAAAAATTAAAAAAAAAATACACAAATAAATCGTTAGAAGTTTTTTTGTTGTTTTAACCATACAAGAAATCCCATTTATTTATACTTATCATAGTAACAGCTGTAAGTTTTATAAAAAATTCAAACACAACAAAAACATAAGTGTAACAAAAGAAATTTAAAAAACAACAACAAACTAACAATGAATTTGCAACAGAAGGCGTAAGTAAAGTAAGTTGAGAGAAAAAAGTTGCAAAATAAAAATGAAGCTAATGAAAAACCCTGGAAATAGCGAACAACACCGCACCATTAACTTGAGTGGTATTATTTATTTTTTCTCTTCTTAAATTGAACGCACACGTATTTTTATGGCTCCTGAATGTTTCATAGACAAAAACTTTCTTTGTTGTTCTTGTAGTTGTAGTCTTTCTCGATAGAAGTAGTCTTCCTTGTATAGTATTTTTTTAACTTATTGTCTGATGCATTATTTTTCTTACATTTTACGTTCAGCTTCATTTAAGAAACTGAAACATAAAACACTTTCAATTGCCTGGAGAGAGTTAAACAGTGAAGTGAAAAAGATATTTGGAAGCATGGAATGAAAAAAAACCTAGCCAGCACCCATTTATGAATGTTGTACAGGCATCAAGTCAGTAAAAAGGTTTATTTTTTTGTTTTTTTTTTTTTTTATGCGTTTTTTTAATAGAAATAAAAATACTAATAATTTCGCGCCATTAGTAACAAAGTGTATACACTTGCACACACTTTAGCAATTATTTATGTACATGAACAGAATAGTTATAATACGAGGGTAGACAGAAAAGTTCTTTGGAAGTAAAAAAATAAATTTTTTGAACTTTTCAATAACTAGTGATTTAACTAATTTATGAACTTGCCTTTTGACTAATATACAACTAAGTAGTATATTGGCTAGTGTATAGAATAGTTCATTGTCTGGTCTATGGAATAGTCAAATGATATGCAAATGGACTATTGACTAGACTATGAAATAGTCAATTGACTAATTTAGGGACTGGTCTACTGAATATTCTTTAGAGTAGTCGATTGACTAGTCCCTTGATATTTTATGGAATAGTCTATGGACTAGTCTATTGACCAGTATATGGATTTGTCTATTGACCAGTTTATGGACTAGTCTACTGACCAGTCTATGACCAAGTCTATTGACTAATTTATGATATATTCTAGTCAATTTCCTAGTTTATGGAATAGTCTATGAACTAGACTAATCGATTGCCTAACCTACTAAGTAGTCAATTGACTAATCTATTGCCTAACCTACTGAGTAGTCAATTGACTAATCTATGAACTAGTCTATTAACTAGTCTATGGAATAGTTTATTGACTAGTCTATAGAATAGTCTATTTACTTTCCTATAGATTAATGTATTGAATTGCATAATGATTAGTGTATGGAATAGTTTATGAACTCTATAGAATAGTATATTGACTAATTTATGGACAAGTCTACTGAATAGTCTATTGACTAGTCTGTGGAATAGTCTCCTGATTAGTCTCTGACCTAGTCTATTGACTAATTTATAATATATTTTAATCAATTTCCTAGTTCATGGAATAGTCTATGAACTAGTCTATTGACTAATCTATTGCCTAGCCTACTGAGTAGTCTATTGACTAATATATGAACTAGTCTATTAACTAGTATATGGATTAGTTTATTGACTATTCTATAGAATAGTCTATTTACTATCCTATGGATAATTGTATTGACTTGCTTAATGACTAGTTTATGGACTTTATAGAATAGTATATTGTCTAGTTTATGGACTAGTCTACTGAATAGTCTATTGACTAGTATCTGGAATAGTCTCCTGATTAGTCTATTGCTTAGTCTATATAGTAACCTATGGACTAATCGATGGTCTATATAGAATGCCTTGTCCAATGATTATTGACTATGTCCAGCAAAAAAAGAACTTCCAAAGAAGCGAAAAAGAAGTAGCATTCACTCCATAGAAATACTGAAAAAGACATGAAGTAATGATAATTTCAACACAGGTTTGTCATAGGAGTGATGTCCTTTTTATTTGATTCCAAATGCACTACTTCTAAAATCATTCTCTTGTTTTATTTTTGCTGGACGCACTAACTAACCAAATAATTTCTCTTACTACCCTCGTTTCACATGTACGCATATTATAGCGCATTTAAACTATCATTCACATACAAAACATGAATGTTTTCGTTTGTACTTAGTTTGTATTCATTTCGCTTTTTTTTTATTCACTCTCAGTCTAGTTTAGTAGTATGTACTAGTAGTTATAGTAGTTAGTTCCTCTTTTGTTTAGTTTTTCTCTACATAATTTTTGTTTGTGGCATAATAGTTGAATGTCTGAATGCATTTAGTCTTTTATAGAGAAAAATACGTGCAACATATGTTTCATTTCCGGCAACATATAACCACCATGTTGTTTAGTCATAGAGGCTGTAGTTTTTAGTTAATGTATTGCATTTTAATGTTTCCTATTCTTAAGTTTATTTCTGGCTTCTGTTAGTAAGCTATTTAATTTTATTTAATTTAGTACTTTTAAAGCAAAAAGTGCACAATGGGGCTAATTAAAACATATAAAGACATATTTTTGAGATTAATACTTTTAAAAAATCTCAATTGTATTCTGTATTGTCATCGATCAAGTGATGGTGTGGTCGTAGTATTTGTTGATCAAATCGTTAATTATATAAACAAATAAGTATTATCAATATCAATACAATACCCCCAAGAGAGTGAAAATCGATAAGAATAGATTCAGTTCCAAAAAAAGATACTACTGTTTGCTTGAAAAGACAACGTAAATAAATATTTGCTTATTTATAATATTGATAAGACTTTATTAGTTAGATATTCTAATCACAGAACATGCTTATTAAAAATGTAAACACAAACTTTTATTTATGTCAATAAACCGGTGAGATTTGACAAAAAACTAAAAAGATAAAGAGTATCAGATTAAAGAGTAAATAAACACAAAAAAATTACTCAAATTGAGAAGATCGTGTATTCTATTTTATTTTAAAAACTAAATCAAACAACAACAATAACACATTTTTTAAACAAAAATGCCCAGTCATTATATTTTTCATTATCGCATAGTACGAAAAAAATAACAACAAATTATACTGACACAACAAATTTCAAATTAAAAATCACAAACGTCAACGTAAAGTATTAAGTAAGACAACTGCAACAAATTTGAAATTAGTTCTAACGAGCATTTGATAGAGTACACATCGTTTAAGAGTGGACAAAAAATAGTTATAGTTTGAGAAAATAAAAATGGTTCAAGAATATTTACAAATATCCTATGATAACAACAATAAAATCTGGACTTCCACACATTATCCCTATAAGGATCAAATTAAAGGCTCTTTGGGAGAGAGATTTTTAAAAACAATGCGCAGTATAAATCCCAATAAAATTATTGATCATTTCTATGATACAAATAGACAAAAGACCGCCAAAGAGGTTTATGAACAGTCTATTATAGTTGCCAAAAATTTACAGCGATTGGGTGTCAAGAAGGGTGATGTTGTGGCATTTTTCTGCATGAACAATGAAGAAGTAGCGGTATTGACCATGGGTTGTATTTTGATTGGTGCTTTGGTGAATTATTTCGAAGTATATATGGAGGGAGGTAAGATATTGTTTGGATATATTTAAATTTATTTATTAAATAATAAGGTTTTTATCAATTTGCATAAGTTTGTTTATATTTTAATGCATATGTATTTGCGTAGTAAGTGCGTTGTGTGAGGGTGGTGTAGAAAATGTAAGAGAAAGAGCGGGAGAGTATATTTTGCAATTTTACATTTATAAATATTTGTTTACATGTTTACAACAATATTTTTTTTTTTTTTTTTTAATTTTCTTGAGTTAAAAGTTGTTGTTTTAGGTAGGGTGGGGGTTTCCCTTTCTTTTTTGGCATTGTTTTATAGATTTTAGTTAATTTGTTTAATTTAATTTTCTTGCGTTAAAAGTTGTTGTTAAATGGGGTGAGAGGGTCTTGGTTTCCCTTTATTTTTTTAAATTGTTTTCTAGATTTTAGTTAATTTGTTATTTTTTACTCAATTAATGAAAATTTAAAGAATATATACTTAAAAAGATAAGATTAATTTTTATTTTTGCATATCATTAATAGTTGAAGATAATTTAAAAATGTTATCGCTTTTAAGAAAAGAAAACACTTGACATTACACGTGAAAGTATTTTAAGTTGAAATATTTTTATAAAAATCAGTTAAAATAATTATTTTTATTTGTTATTTATTGATTTAACGTGCTTAAGGCGAATATGAAAACAAATAAAAAGTTGTAGTCAGGCTTATCCGGTAACTATCTGTGAAAATGTATGTATGTAGATTAGTGTGGCCCCAAAATAAAAGTTGCTGATGTTCACAACGAAAATGATAATAATTTTTGTCCTGACGTCAATATTTGGTGAGCTGGATCAAAGGGTAAAAAGGTCCTTTTTAAGGTTTTATGATTTCTATCATATTTCTTGCAAATTTAATATCATATGAAAGGTCTTTGGGAGACTATTTCAATGACATAACACAATTTTGTATACAGCTCCAAAATTATTACAAATGTCGTAATTTTCCGAAAAATTTTTAAGTTTTTTAAATTTTTACATAGAAAATTAGAAAATTTCTCAAGGACCTTTCTAATGATATCAATATTTCATATCCTTCCTTTGGAAGAAATATGAAAAAATCATAGAAACCTCAAAAAGGACATTTTTATCCTTTGATCCAGCTCACCAAAAATTGACACCAGGACAAAAATTTTGAGAAATGGTATCTTAGAATCAATTTAACATTAATTTTAGTAGGGAACACTGACACCTTATTTTTCCTCCATACAAACGGGGGCACCCTAATGTACATACATACATATGTACAAATCGAGTTAATTTTTCACGTAATTCATTAAAAAAAATTTAATTATTTATTAGATTATGATGACTTGTATTGTTATTTATATCAAGATTTTTATATTCACATAATTAAGATGTTTTAAGATTTAAATACAAAGTTTCTGAAAAAATCTTAATATGAGAGATAAAAGCCAGTTGGAAGAGAATTGATATTGTTATAAAACTTATAAATTTTTATATATACATATACTGATATTAAAATTGGAAAATCCAAAATATGAACCGATTTTTGCAGAATTCAATAGAGTTATATATTTATATAACAACCTTAGAAAAGGTTAACTTGGTTCTGTTATTCCGTGTAAAAAAACTTAAAATATTTAAATCCGTATTTCAATCATTCCAGAGCAGAGTTTTTGGATCAAAATGTGTGTATATGCATTACAGTGCGTCGAGAACAGAATCTCATGTAGGATTACCTCTCAATCAATGCGTTTTAAAGTAGAAAAATAAAAAATTTGTTTTCTCAGCGATTAAGTTAAATATTAAAAATTTTTTTTTTAATTTTCCAAATCTTTTCAGAACACACCGATTACGTTTTTAACCTAGTGCAGCCCACGGTGGTTTTGTACGAAGAAACCTATAAAGCCAAATGTCTACAATCGCTTGAACGTACTCAACTTAAATCCTACAAATATGCATTATCTATTGATGGTCAACAGCAACCAAATATAAAATCTGAGTTACTTACATGGGATGGTGACATTGATTTTGAACAATTTGAAAGTGTAGAAGTTAAAGATCCAGAAAATGAATTGGCCTTCCTGGCACTTACTTCAGGTTCTACAGGCATACCAAAAGTAGTACAAATTACACATACATTAATGTTGCACGGCATACACATCTGGTGGGATAATAAAGATAATTATCAACCTTTGACTGAAGAAGCGGTACTCTTCTCTTTCAGTCCCTTGCGTTGGATTAGTCAGTGTGCAATGCTTTTGGAATCCATGTTAATGGGTCTTAAACGTATTAGTTCAAGTGGTGCACCTACGGGAAAATATGGTTTAGAGTTATTGAGGAAATGTCATATAACTCATGTATTTGTGGCACCCTCTATATTTTATAATATACTTTTGGAATTAAACGAATCTGATGTGGAATCTTTAAAATCATTAAAACTAATATTGTTGGGTGGTGAACCGGCTTCAACGATTCTCTTGACTTTAGGCAAGAGACATTGTGTTAATGCCAAATTATATCAATGTTATGGCATGACCGAAATGACCTCTTGCATATCGAATGATGAAGATATAAATGGTGGTAAATTGCTGCCTGGCTATCAAATGCAAATATTAGATGATCAATGTCGACCAGTTGGTCCCAATCAGAAAGGTCAAATTGCCTTAAAGCCACCATTTCCTTTAAAAGGCTACAAGGGTATTGATTCGCAAAAGTATTACAATGAAAATGGCATGTTTATAAATGGTGATTATGGTGTAATCGATGATCAAGGCTATTTGCATGTTTTGGCTAGATATAAGGATTTGATTTATTCAAATAATTTAACGGTAAGTGTTTTTCTTCGAACTTATAAAATTATTTTATTTTCTAAGGTTTTCTTTTATTTTAGATTATACCCAATCCCTTGGAACATATTGTTATGGATATGCCTGAAATTTGCGTAGCACGTTTGGCCGGTTATCGCAAAACACCTGACAACCCCAATGAAATTGGTGCCTTTTTTGTGGTACTTAATAAGGGAGTTACTGCCTCTCAGGATGAGATCTCTAAGAAAATCTTTAATGTTTTAAAATCTCATTTAACTGCTGAAGAATTGGCTGTTATACAAGATATTTATTATGTTGATTCTGTACCGGTTACCACTTGTGGTAAGGTTGATCGTGTAGCCTTAAAGAATTTGGCTTTGAAAAAGTCACAAATTAAGTAGATTTTTTTAAGGTTGTTTAATGAGCTAAGTAGTAGTTTTATAATATATTTTGATATAAAAACTTTATTAAAAAAATATTTAAAAATCCTCTTTGTTTCAAATTTTCCAACTTCGAAAATTATTTTAAATCATATGGATTTGACAGATTCACTTAGTGTGAAAAGCATGAATATGTAAGAAAATTAAATTTTAGTTTCTTCAATTTTCATTATGAAAATAATTTACAAATGTTCATGAATTTTAAAGTGCAGAATGTAAGTTTGTTGGGATATGTTCGAAAATTCGAACTTAAATTCAGAATTTGTTTAAATCATAAAAGTTTGATTAAGCCAATTGATGAATTGATTAAGCTCAATAAAGAAGCTTTTGGTGGAAAGCTTTTCGTCACTTATATAACGCGGTGTTTTGGATATTTTCATTTGTCGAGATGATCACCGGATTTTTCTAATTGAGATATCCGTTTTAGTTCTGGGAACAACTCAAAAGAAAAACTACAACCGTGAGAACAAGAAAACTATAAATCTAAATTCTATAAGATAATGAACTTTTTCCCCACACCAATAATTTCTCTAAAAAAACAACTATGAAAATTTAAAATTTAAAGCATATTTTAAGGCAACACATAATATAAAATCAACACTAACCAACAATTTTAACACTTCACTTGTCAAATTTTGGACAGTTGAGTCCAGTAAATCATCACCATACATATAGAGAATAATGCCGAGTCATATAGACATAACCATACAAATGTTATGGATAAAATGTTGGTCACAATATGAAATTTAGTTTATCGAGCAAATTCTTGCCGAATGCGTTTTTTCTCCTTTTTTTTTTGGTGTAATCAACAATTTATGATGTTCTTCGCAAAAAAAAAACCAAAAAAAAAAGAACAACAAATTGCATGTAATATAAATTCGAAAACTGTCAGTGACATATAGGGGGGGACAAAATATCATATGCACATGGTGGTTTCTTTTTACAATGCTACAGGCTGGTCCGTTTACCACTAGCAATAAAAATTATATGTACAAAAAAATACGACAAACATATTTTTCTTTTTTTTGCGCAAAATAAACATGAATTTTCTTGCCACCACAACTTTTGTACAACAGCCGGAAGTAAAACAAATGCCACAGAAAAATTACGCCTTCTTGTGGCCCAGAAATGGAAAAAAGAATCACATACAAGAAACATACAAATCGAAACAAAAGTTTAAGTATAGTGTTGGTTGGTATCTGTAGTATATTTTGCTAGTGACAGCAACGACAAAATTTATACAAAAAAAAATTCTTGTGGAATGTGGTTTTCCCTTAAAAAAATGGTAACTAAAATTTTGTTGTAAATTTTGCTACAAAAAAAAACTAAAAGAAAATTATGACCTTTATGTGGTCAAGCAAGAGAAAAATTGCCTTTAAAGAAAACCAAACTAGCGAAACACAACAAAAAAAATCTTAATAGAAGATGCGGTTGAAAACATGTGGAATTGTTGAGGCCAGTTTTATATGTTTATTTATTGTTAAAATAAAACATAACTTGTATCTATATATCAATTTTGGGGCAATTAAACAATAAATATGGAAGGAAACACTTTAAAAAAGGATTTTTGGTGGTCAGAATGTTGGAAACTTATTAATGTTTCTGTTCTACCTTTCTCCTAAAAAAAAAACTTTTTTAAAACTTTATTAACAAAATCTAATAAATAGTGATATTAGCTAACATTTTATGAAACTCAAACCTAATATCGACAAAATTTAACGAACAAAATCAAATTATTTTTAAAAATTTATCTTTTATCGTAAATCTTGTAGTTAAGCCTTAGGCTACAAACACAATAAATACGAATAGAAACTAGAAAATGTTTGAAATGAAATGAAAAAACCACAAAAATACAATTTAGAAATCATACCTTCATTAAAGCTGCAACATATTTCATGGTGTAGGTGTTGCCCCAAAGGACATTAAATGTACGAGTAGTTTTTTTTTTATCAAACGCAAAATGAATTACAGGAAAAATGAACACTTCAATACTCTGAAATGAAAAAGAAACAAAATTAGAAATATTAGTCTAAAAGAAAAACTTTTTTTTAAGAAAAATTTATTAGTAGCAGTAACGAGACATATAAAAATTTGTTAGAGATGAAGACAACCAGCAACAGTAAGAGGATAGACAAAAAAAAAAGTGTCAAGAAAAGAAACAGTGAGGTACCACCTACAATTTGGTACGTATGTATGTGTATGTACTTGTTTTAGAAATGGCAACAAAAGCCAAGTCCATACATAGTTTACAAACATAAAGAAAGGATGAAAGATTAAAAGAAAAGTTTAGATAAAAATTAAGTAAGATGTATGTATTCGTCTGTACCGCATCGTATATACCCTTCACCATATAGAGTATTTTTCAAAATATTATTTTATAAAAAATATATTTTTTTAAGTATATTTGTATACCACACCTTCAAGTATACGAAACGGATCCGAATCACTTTCCGAGTTGATTAAGCCATGTCCGTCCGTCTGTCTGTCTGTATGTCTGTATGTCCGTCTGTGTGTCGAGTAGAGTATTTTCCAAAATATTATTTTATAAAAAAATATATTTTTTAAGTATATTTTTATACCCCACCTTAAAGTATTCGAAACAGATCCGAATCACTTTCCGAGTTGATTAAGCCATGTCAGTCTATCTGTGTGTCCGTCCGTCCGTCTGTCAGTCTGTCTTTCTGTCTGTCCGTTAAAACATTGTGTGCCGCTACAAGTCTCAGTTTTCAAGATAATTTGATGATATTTGGCAAACATGTATATATTGTTCTCTAGGCCCAATGCTGAAATCGGTCGAGGTAAAGGTTGGTCTACATCGAAAAACGGACAGATAAATTGCGCTATTTAAATCGACTTAAAGAGATTCTAACATGTCACAAACTTCAGCTCAAACCTATAGCACACTCATCCTTTATAGTATGAATAAAGTACAAAAACTAACAAAAAAATAAAATCTAACCATAAATAAAGCAAAAAACCATAAGGAATCGAAATGGAGATAAAGAAAACAAAAAAACAAAAAGAAAAACTCAGCAACCGGAAAACGGAAATGAATCATTTCATTAGTTGGCTACGCCTACGTTTATTTTATTTCTTATGTTTTGTTACCCCAACAAAACTAAAATCAACAAAGCCAACAGAGTTACAATCCCAGTCAGTGTAGAAGTGTCACTAGTAAAAGCTCTACAACACTATTCCTTTGGGTATATATGACAACTTGGTTGCCTAACATTTTGAGTAAGTGTGTGTGTCTGTATGTTTTTTCGGTTTCTTTTTTATTTATTTGTTTTATAGTGTGAAACGTAATAAAAAAAACGGAAGGCAAAAAAAAACTCAATTTAAAGCTTAAAAAATTGACTTGAAATGTTGTTAAGTTTACTATGTATATCTTTTTTATTTTCTTTTTGTAAATACATAGTAAATTGGTGTGATTTTATTTCATTTTTTTCGTATAACTGAATTATATTACAATTTGCTAACAAATTCCTTTGAGTATAACTTAAAACAAATATAAGAAATATTTCATAGTAAATGAAAATGAAATGTCTTGTTGGTGGCAATAAAGAAAACGAAAAATGTAGAAAAAAATGAAAAATAAAAACAAACAAAATAAATTAGACATTTGTATTTTACAGTTAAGTGGCTGAATAATGATGTATTTAAATAAATCTCCATAATGTATGTACTCCCATGTTAAACAATTTAATCATATTATAGGATTTGTATTATGTTTTGATTGAATTTCTTTTCCCAACAATATGTTTTTTTTTAACAATTTTAAATGGGTTCAAGATGAATGATTTGGAAAAGTTTTGATAGGAAAACATTTTTTTAAGATATTTGTGTAATAGGAAAAAATGACTAAGGAAATGTTGTGGGTAAAATGTGTACTTCATACTACGAGATACTTTATACATTTACTTTATACTATATTTTAAGGAGTTTGAAACGAGAAGGAATTTTTCATAGGCGGATTCCAATAGCGAAATGATGTTAGTGCATATAGTCTATATGATATTAGTGCATATAGTCTAGTCTATAGTCCGGACTAGGGTCTATTCTTTAGACTATAGTCAGATTATATTCTATAGTGACGACTATAACCTATAGACCAGACTATCGCCTGTAGTCTATATATAATCCAGACTATAGCCAATTGCGCAGATTATAGTACAGACTATAGTGTATAGTCCAGGCTATAGTCTATATACCACTGTATAGGCCATACTATAGTCTACAGTCCATACTATAGTCTATAGTCCAGACTATAGTCTATAGTCCAGTCTATAGTCTATATACCAATATATAGTCCAGACTGTAACATATTATCCATACTATAGTCCAGTCAGTAGCCTATAGTTCAGCCTATTGTTCAGGCTATAGTCCTGACTATAATGTATAGTGCAGACTATTTTATATAGTCCAGACTATAGTGTATAGTCAAGACTATAGTGTATAGTCCTAACTATAGTGTATAGTCCAGACTATAGTGTATAGTCCAGATTATAGTCTATAGTCCAAACAGTAGTCTATAGTCCATACTATAGTCTAATTTCCAGACTTTAGTCTATAATTCAATCTGTAGTCCTTATAGTTCAGACTGTAGTCTATAATCCAGACAATAACCTACAGTCCAGACTGCAGTCTATACTCCAGACTATATGTATTCTATAATCCAGATTATAGTCCAGAATGTAGGTAAGATTTTAATCCATAGTTTAAACTGTATTGTAGATAATGGAAAAGTAAAATATCTATCTTTGTTTCTACATCCCTCATAAACCTCATTTTGGTGAATGGTATATAAAAATCATTAAATTTCGTCCCACACAAATATTTCTGATAAATAAAGCTTTGGATGGATTTTAGATAAAAATAATTTTACAAATAAAACATTTATCAAAAATTCCTTCTAAAAAATTATTATACTAAATGATGATGTTCATAATAACTCATTATGAAATATAAGTATATTAATCATTCAAAACTTTTAAACATGTATTCTTCTCCCTTCCCAAAAAAATCATACGTTAATGATGTTACAAAATACTTGAAAATAATACTGATGTAAGAAAATTTTTAAAGACAACCTACATGTAGAGTATTCAAGTACATGTATATAATGTACAAGTACATGCATAAATTTAATGAATACTATGTATGATTTTATACCCCGAAAAAAAAACTTTTTATGTCTTTTCAAATGTTTGCGATTCTTTGCACAAAAACACAAGTAGTAAGTACTTTGTATACAAAAATGTTAGTATTTTATTTATTATACAAATATTTAACATTAACGAGTAAAATGTAATGTTCTCAAACGAAACAAAAGTAAACGAGAGTACAACTTTTTAATGAATGCCTTTTCAGTGAAAAACTTAAAACGTACTTTTTGTTGTGGCTTGTATACAAAAACAAAATTTAAAATATTCCTGGTATAAAAGTACAGGTTTTCTACTTCCTTCCTGGATAGAATTGCTTCGTTTTTTTTTTTGTTAGCTTTTTTGCTTTTTGTCAGCTTTAGCATAAAGCTCAACACTTAATACTTAACAAAAGTAACAACAATAAGAAAGTTTTGGCAAATCTTATCTTTACACCCAAGAAGGAGAAAAAAGATGAACAGTGTTTGTTGCTTTTACAAGAAATCGAAACAAACTTTACAACAAAAAAGTACCATAAAACATGTTAAATAATAATAATATATACACAATAGAAATGTATTTTATGGTGTGTTATGGTATCTTATTACATTATATAATATTATATTGTTTATTCGTTTATCCTTTTTGTTTCTTTTAAAGATCATAAATAATGACTTAACACACAGATACATTGGAATTTATTAACAAGTTTAACTTTATAGTCAATAGAATCCGACCAAATTTTACCCCACACCAGATATTTAAGCTAATTTTTGATTTATAAATCTATCCACACAAAATCGGTTTACACACATGTATATAAGTATGTATGATAATGGTATCAATAACCCGTCAAAAAGCAATCCGTTTGGGACCACTTAGTCTAAAAAACAGTTCGTCTCTAGAATGTATGAGGAAGAGGAAGTAAGGAAATGGAAATTTTCTGTTGGGCTGGTAAAGCTTTTTTAACATCCGATTGTTAATCAAAACTGTTTAATGTTTTTATGCAAAATCGGAACAAAAGAATACCTATGTCTTACTAAATTACCTCAATTTATCAAAGATGATCAAATTACCTCAATTTATCAAAGATGATCAAATTGATCATCAGTGGAAGATCTATATGATGTTACTTGTTGCTACTTCAAATGGTATTCACTCTACTTTTTTATCCAGAAATATTTTTTCTAACAAAGTGACTAAATTTGTAGTTTAAATGAATATTTATATAAGAGTACACTGAGAGAAATGTGAGTACGAGTTTCATTTATTGATTAACGATCAATATATAACACCGTTCAGTTGTTCAATTAAAAACTAAAGCGCCATGAAAAGCTTGATTGGAAATATATGTTTAAGATCCTATGAACCAAAAATAAGTTTAATCAATGCAGCAAATGAGAGAATGTCCTGTAAAAATAAGTCTCAGTTAAGAAAAATTAAAAAACTGACTTCCCATCTAAAAACGATCATATATGAATATATGTGGATCATATATGAATCATATATGGACCATATATATTCATATATGTTCATATCCGAAAAATGGCGATATATGATCATGTCATATATGGAATCATATATGAAAAAAATTTTCCATATATGGATATGTATTTAAATATATGGAAATATATGAAAATATATGTAGATTATGCTCAATTCTGTCAATTTTCGGATATGAATATATATGAAAATACATGCTTCATATATGAATCCATATATGATCCATACATAATCTTTTTTAGCTGGGTTTACATAATGAATAAGTTCTTACAGCATCAGTGATAGGTTATTCAAAGAGTAATAGGTACATTTAGTAACACATTTATTAAGAAATTAAAACATTTAATTGTAACGAAAATATGTAAAGTAAATTAATAATTAACACAAATATCTTCCAGTGTATAGAGTAGACTTCTTGAAATATTTCATAACATATTAGAGCACATAATAAGACAGTATATAATCTTTTTATTTTCTAACATTATTCAAGTGTTGCCTACTTAACTTCATACATGATGATGAAAAGGCCTGCTATCTTCTTATTTTACAATTTCTTTTATGAAAAGAAACATATTTCATGCAGTCAGACAGACAGACAGACAGACAACTTTTTTCATTTCATTCACTCTTATTCATCACACACTCTTTACATATGTGTAAGTACTAAAACTGCTACTTGTCTGGGTACTTTAAGATATTAGATACTAGAAAATTTCTATAGTAACTAAGGAGTACAATCCACTATAAAGTAAAATATAAACTTAAGTGTGTCTATTTTCCAATTCGGGTGCGTGAGTCTGTGTTTGTAAATACTTCTTGTTAGTTCGTTCGTTAGTTAAGTTACTTCCTTGTATTGTAAAATTGACAAACTACAGTTTGCTCTCTTTTTTTTCTAAATCTTTTGTATTTTTCTACATGTGTGGAACAATTATTTAATTAAAATCATTATTAGTTGGAAAGTATGTTTAGTTTTTTGTGTTATTATTTTTTTTTATTCTATATAGAATACTTGACATTTGAAGTATTTTAAATGTGCAGTATGGAGAAATGAATTAACATATATAGAGAGAAAGGTATGTATGACAGGAAGGAAAAAGTTCTAGTTTATACTATAGAATTGTGAGGCATTGTTAGATAATTTTGAAATTATTTGCATAGTTATTATACGAAATTCTGTTCTAAAGAAAATTTTCTAAAGAATTTTTGTATAATTTAGAAAAATGCAAATTGAATAAAAATTATACTAGTTCTGATATCAATTAATTTTCAAAAAAAGTAGCTAAGGTTTCACTGATGTACACAGAAGGAAAAAAATATAGACGCCTGGTACCAAATTGACACCAAAGTGTTTATAATTTTTCAATAACATCCGTTGTCAAAGTATATACATACGTACGATAACACTATGTAATGTTAACAACGCAACGTTGTCAAAATTGCAACAATTCGTTGTCAAAATCTAATTATATACACATCCGTTGTCTAAACGTTAAAAAACGTGGTAAGCTCACTATAGACAAACAATCCGTTGCCAATATTGAGCTTACCACGTTTGTTAACATTTAGACAACGGATGTGTATAAAATTTAGATTTCGACAACGAATTGTTGCAATGTTGACAACGTTGCGATGTCAACATTACGTAGTATTGTTATACGTATGTATATACTTTGACAACGGATGTTATTGAAAAATTATAAACACTTTGGTGTCAATTTGGTATAACATACATTTTTAAAATCCAGTTTTTCTTGACAGGTTTTATTTTATGCAATCTCGAACCCTGTACAAATTTTGATAAAATTATTCAAGAAAAATATTTTAAAATATAATTGATTATTGAAATCTATCGACATACTAAATATTCCAACTAGAATATGTCCCAATCAAAATCCACCAAATTTGCACAATTAACTATTGAAGATGATGAGAAAGAAGAAACGGTATTAAAAATTATTAAAAAAAACTGCAAATATAAATATAAGTCCCTTCTTTATAGCCTCCACCGGAAGTCAAACTTTCGTTGGGTAAAACTAAAAAAGTCGTAATGGATCGTTTGGATACAATATCTACTGCAGGCTCTGTAATGCATTTAAGTCTATACGATCGCATAAGAATGGAGACTCAAAAAATTCTGGATACAAGATCTCAATTGAAGATACATGAGCTAATCGACAATAAAATAGTAAATGTAACACCGAAACCAATAGATTTACCACACGAGACTGAGGGTTATAAAAAATTGACTCGAAAATATAGTGCCCCGAAAACTGAAGATGGATTGGACATAATTAGTTTTAAGAGTATGACAAGTGCTTTAATGAAATCGCGTTCTTCTAGGGGAGTGGGCTTTAGATTGTCACTAGAAGACATAATCAATGGGGTAAATCTTTAAAGGAATAAATTATATTTAAATTTTGTAAAATTTATCTTTAGATTGGCAGTGAGCGCATGCTATTGGATCTAGAATCAGCTAGACATTCTATGGCAAGTGTTGATTCTTCTTCTTCCTCTCAATCTCAGTCCGATGACCATTTAGTAAGCAAACACAAATTGCCATTTATACGCATAGTTTTGCGTAAAACAGAGCTACAGTTACTATATGAACAACGCAGCATGACAGCTATCAAAAATACCGAAGATGCTAACTTTGTTGAAATGGATAATAAACAATATGATTACCTCACTATTGGTAGAGGTAAAGTAAGAAGACGCTCGGAATCAGAAGCTCAAACTTCGGATACTCTTTACAAGTCTAGAGGAATCAATACTGTTAAGACAGAGACCAGAGATGTGGCCAGTTATGTTTCGTTTTTTGAAATGTACGATACTTATATGCAATTGGATGATATTAAATATGGTTTTGATGAGTATGAAACTAAGAAGTTGCATATTTCTCAAAGTCAAACTGCTGAAGAACAATTTGCTATGATAGCTAAACTGCCCTCTTTTCACTTGGCCAGTGTTATTATAAAACGTTTACTGGCGGGAAATACTCATGAAGAGGGTCAAAGAAGATTTCGTAATATGATGACTGTAACCAGAACAGTGGATAAGGTTGATTATAAATACTCACTTAAACCTCTGTTTACTATAAACCGGGCATCCAAAGATAATGTACGTAAGGCTGTGTCCGACATGAGTTTTTGCTATACCAATAGTGATATATTGGCAGTGTCTTATGGAATTTATTCCTATCAGGCAGCTAAGTTACCTAAAACAGGAGAAGTATGTGTGTGGAGCATTAAGAATCCCTGTGATCCAGAACGTTTCTATAACTACACAGTGCCAGTAGTATCAGTGGAATTTTCTCCCTATATGCCCACATTATTGGCTATAGGCCTATTTGATGGTTCAGTGGAAGTAAGAGATATAGCTTTCTATAATCAACCACCAGTGGCCATATCTCAACGTATTACCTCACCTGGTGTTGATCCTGTTTTAGCCATTAAATGGATTAAACAAGCTTCGGCTAATGGCCAGGAAGATATTGATCCTTTTATAACACTTTCTCAAGATGGCTCTGTCACACAATTCAATATTATTAATAGTCCCTTTTTATCGGGATGCAAGCTAATGACTTTGGAACGTATTGAGGGTATGCCGGAGGGTTTACCAAGTATTAAGAGTTCTACGGAGTTACCGCAACAAACAAATCGTTGTGCTCAGGGTTTGAATTTGACAAAACATCCTACTCATTTGGATATTTATTATGTTCTAACCGATGAGGGTTGTGTTCATAAATGCTCGACAAATTATCAACATCATTATTTGCAAGTTTTGAAGACCCATGATGGTTCGGTTAATGCAATGGATTTTTCACCCTGGTCACCGAAATTGTTTTTGACTTGCGGCAATGATTGGTAAGTGGGAGAAGTGGGATGAGTTTAATATTTTTAATAAATTACTATTTGATATTTAAGGTGTATACGCATTTGGATGGAAGGCATATTCCAGCCTTTGGTAACTCTTAAAAACACCTCTGCACCCTATCAATGGGCTGCCTGGAGTCGGGTACATTCTACTGTACTAATAGCAATTAATCGTAAACAATGTGAGATATGGGATTTGAAACGAAATATTTTGAAACCCATGTCAACAACAATAATTGGCAAGTCTCATAATACTATGGGAATGTAAGTATAATAATGAAATGAAATTCTGAACAGATTTCATTGTTTTTGACCGATAGGTGTCGCGTTTTCACGTTTTTACCCTTTAAATACCATTAAGGTTTGAATTTCGAAGAAGAACCATATAGAATAATGTATATAGTAGTTTAGAGACTAACTAACTCATTACTTTGTCTTTGCACTGGTATACTGATTATACTATAAACTAGCCTATTGTATAGTCCATATACTAGTCTATTGTCTTGTATATATACTAGTCTATTGTCTAATCTATATACTAGTTTACTGTCTAATCAATATACTAGTCTATTGTCTAGTCTATAGACTAGTCTATTGTCCAGTCAATAGACTAGTTTATTGTCTAGACTATTGTCTAGTCTACAGAATAGTCTATTGTCTTGTCTATAGACTAGTCTATTGTCTAGTCTAGTTATAGACCGGTCTATTGGTTAGTCAATAGACTAGTCTATTGTCTAGTCTAGTTATAGACTAGTCTGTTGTCTAGTCTAGTTATAGAATAGTCTATTGTCTAGTATATAGACTAGTCTATTGTCTAGTATATAGACTAGTCTATTGTCTAGTCTATAGACCAGTCTATTGTCTATTCTATAGACTAGTCTTTGCCTAGTCTATATACTAGTCTATTGTCTAGCCTATAGACTAGTCTATTGTCTAGTTTATTGTCTAGTCTATTGTCTAGTCTATTGTCTAGTCTATTGTCTAGTCTATTGTCTAGTCTATTGTCTAGTCTATTGTCTAGTCTATTGTCTAGTCTATTGTCTAGTCTAGTCTATTGTCTAGTCTATTGTCTAGTCTATTGTCTAGTCTATTGTCAAGTCTATAAACTAGTCTATCGTCAAGTCTATGGACTAGTCTATTGTCTAGTCTATTGTTTAGTGTACTGTCTAGTCTATTGTCTAGTCTATAGACTAGTCTATTGCCAAGTTTATGGACTAGTCTATTGTCTAGTCTAGTCTATAGACGAGTCTATTGTCTAGTCTATAGACGAGTCTATTGTCCAGTCTAAAGACTAGTCTATTGTCTAGTCTATAGACCAGTCTATTGTCTATTCTATAGACTAGTGTACTGTCTAGTTTATAGACTAGTCTACTGTCTAGTCTATAGACTAGTCTACTGTCTAGTCTATAGACTAGTCTACTGTCTAGTCTATAGACTAGTCTACTGTCTATTCTATTGTCTAGTCTATTGTCTAGTCTATTGTCTAGTCTATTGTCTAGTCTATTGTCTAGTCTATTGTCTAGTCTATTGTCTAGTCTATTGTCAAGTCTATGGACTAGTCTATTGTCTAGTCTATTCTAGTCTATAGACTCGTCTATTTTCTAGTCTATTGTCTGGTCTATCGACTAGCCTATTGTCAAGTCTATTGTCAAGTCTATTGTCAAGTCTATATACTAGTCTATAGGCTAGTCTATTGTCTAGTGTATATGCTAGTATATTCTAGTCTATATAGACTAGTCTATTGTCTAGTCTATAGGCTAGTCTATTGTCGAATCTATTGTTTAGTCAATACAAAAATATTGTTTAATCTGTATACTAGACTATTTTCTAGTCTATAGTCTGGTTTATAGGCTAGTCTATAGACGAGATTATTGTCTTGGCTACATACCAGTCTATTGTCCAGTCTATAGACTATTTTCTAGTCTATAGACTAGACTATAGGCTAGTCTATTGTATAAACTATGGACTAGTCTAATGTGTAGTCTATGAACTAGTCTAGTCTATGGATTAGCCTATTGTAGAGTCTATTGATCAGTCTAATGTCTAGTCTACAAATTAGTATACTGACTAGTCTGTGGAGTATTGACTAGTCTATATGTATATTGATAAGTTTACTGATTAAAGAAGTGGGCTGGAGATGATCTGAATCAAAAATTTAATTTACCATCCCTTTCAAATCAAACCTCGTAGTTAATCATAAAATTCACAATAAAATCTCTTTTACTTCATCTTACAGTTTCTCCCTCAATGGTTGTGCCATTGCAATTGGCACCGAACGAGGTCAAGTAGTTGTCAATGCTTTAGATGAGATGCCATTTCCACCCTATTATCAATATGATACATTGGAAAATGCCATTTATAAAGCGGTTAGCAATTATCCAGAATTGTTAATAGAATTAAAGAGTATTGGTTATTTTGGTTATGCGAATAAGGGGTTTGTCAAACCACCTTAAAATGATATTATTTAAAATTGATTTAATAATTACAAACAATAAATATTTGAGTAGTAAATAGAGAAAAATATATATATAAAATATAACTCTTTTTAAACAATTAAGGGCGTTTGTAACGTTATAGGAGTTTCATTTAATATTTAATAAAAATTCAATTAAAATAATTGCTGCAATTTAATCAATTCAATTAAGCTCTGTTTGAAAGTTTATTTAATATATTTGCCATATGTAAGTTAAAGGGTTTAAATTAAAAGTTATTTTGAAAAACATATAAATGCATATATAAATATTTTTGTATATATTATTTATTTATTTTAATAAACATATAATATCTACGTTTATTTCATATTTAATTGTTGTAAATGCATTTTTGCATTTAACTTTATTATTACTTATTTACATGTTATTTTTTTTTTCCTGGAATTTTCAGTTTATATATGTCACATAGAGTTTTAATTATTTACAAGTTGTAGCAGTATAGTTTTATATTATTTTATTTATTTTTTTTTGTTTGCTGTAACATGGGAATTTTTCATTTTGAAAAGTTGTAAAATTGTTAAAATATCACAAGTATTTATTTGTATTTTTCTCTTGTTTTGTTGTTTGTATTTACAAACATATATTTTATTATCCATTGCATTTAACAAAAATTCAGTTGTTGTTTTATTTATATATATTTGCATTTTTACATAAATATTTTATAAGTTGATAACAGTTTGAGTGGTGCTGTTGTTTGTGATATTCAAATATACGGTCTAATGGGATTAATAGAGATATGAAGAGAAAAGGTTTCATAGGAAAATAGTTGTCATTCAAAATTTTAAATATATTTTTGTATTGTTTTTTTTTTAACTGCAATGCAAGTAGGGAATAATAAGGAATTTTGCACAGTGGCTTAGAAACGTTTTGTTTTGTCTTCATAAAGCTAGAAGCATTTAAGGTGAAAAATGTATAAAGATAAACAAATAGTAGTCGGACAAGGGGCAAGGTCTGAATAATAAGGCATAGAGGCAAAACTTTTAAAACACTTTTTCCAAATTGTTATTAAAATATATTGCAACATATGACCGAGCGTTGTCATGATGGAATATTACTCCTTTAGTCTGGTCGCATATGATCCCTTCATACGGATCAGTTGCTTTCGTTACAGGTTCCCTGTTTATTGTTCACACTAAAATGTAAGCAATAAATAAGTGAGAATAAATAAAAATATACACTATATTTAACAAAACCCGAATTTTTAAGTTATACCCCCAATATATAGTAAACTAGTAGTGCCCGGTCCGCATTGTAGGCCTATGATTAGCTATGTGGACTCTACATGTAAAGATCTATATACCCATCAAAATTTAAAAAAAAATCGCCCAACAAAAATAAAACGAAGTACTCCTAAAAGAATAACATTTATCACCACTTCAAAGGTAGCACTAGGTGAATTGTTTCACCTTTTGTGGAAGTGGAGTTTAATGACTTCCGAAGAAGCCGATTTCCCAATATTCTATAATGCTACAATTTTACTTCCAAATAACTTCTTTTTCAGTACTTCCATAGAGTAAATTAAACTTCTATTTCGCTTCTTTGGAAGTTCTTTTTTCGGTTTAGGTGTAATTGAGTAAAAATTAAAACTTCGGTGCCATTTGTCGGACAAATTTAAAACTTTACAGGAACTCTTTTCACGATCCCTGGAACATATGTATATTTAAAATCTTGTCCTATCAGGGGGCTTAGTTCCTGAGTTTATCGATTACGAAGAAACATTACTCATTTATTTATATATATATATAGATATGTTTATTATTATTCGTTTACAGAAAATATGCAAATACATTGTATATTTCCTGAAAATCTTCTTTTAAGAAAATTTTAAAATTTCATATCGATTTTATAATTTAAATTATTAACAAAAAAAAACAAAAATACTCTTAAATATCTTAATATCATTACCTAATGAAGAGTAAATAAATATTTATGTATCTGACCTAAAAAAAATGAAAATTCTCAAACAAATATTTTCCTTAAAAGAATAAACCATGTATTTCATAAACATCATTATTATTCATGGCAATGAAAACATGCAGTACATAAAGTAAGTTTGTTAAATGCAAACATTTAAATATTAAATTATTTCGTATACGATTTTCAACCTGGAAAAAGAAACTTTTTATCCAAACTTATTATTAAGTTATTGTTGAAATAAAGCAGCAATATATTATAGTTTTGGAATATTTATCCGATGAAAATACATACATATATACATATAAATTGTATGTAGCAGTTTAACATGCATGTGCAGGAATATTTCTGCAGTTCATATGCAAATAAATGAGTTAAAAATTCATATTTAATATACATATGCAAAAAATGTTATGTTTTTAATGAAAAACTGCATGTGAAGGTTTTAATTAAGAAATTATTTTAAAAGAATTTTTTTGTTTAAATAAATAAAAATTTGCTGGGTAGATTTGTGTTTAAGTTTAATAACTGGTATCATGCTTTAGGGGTAAATTTTCTGAAACAGATTCTTAAGTCTCAAAATATTAATTCAGAAAAATTTTAAATATGGCAGATAGGATAAATATTATTCCGATCCTCACAAAATTTGGTAAAGGAATTAATAAAACTTACTTCCAAAAAATTTTGACATACAAAACGACGTTTATTTACTACTTGGACCGAATTCCACAGAATTTGAAAGACTAATTAACATTCAAACAAGAAACATTTTGTTTTGTCTACACTCGTGAGCATAACATAGAAAAGTACCCTTAACTGAATTAAATAAATTTATTCCTTTTTACTAGTTTATCAATATGTTTTATTATTATGCCCCCCTTATTGTAGTGGCAAGAGATTCAATGGTCATAAAAATATTTATTGTGGTGACACATAAAGTATATTTTTATTAACATTATTGCTAACAAATCGTTTGAAATAAAATGTTAAAATACAAGCCACCAACCACATCATACACTATAAATACTATACGAATTTATATGTGTATAAATAGTATATGGCAGCATATAACACTTAAACTTTAAGACATACAAACATTTATGCACACATACATATAAATGAAAGTTAAGAAAAGATAGAAAGATCAAGTAAGAGTATTATATTCGGTTGCAACGAATCTTATATGACCAACAAAAAAAAAAAATAAACATATGAGAAGTTAAAAATGAATACCAGTCACTTGAATGAACGAGCCGAATTGACATCAGCGGGACCAAAAGTGTTTTATCTATTATGAGCAATTGAAAATAGACCAGTCCATCATATGGAGACTGTACAAAATGCAACAGATTCGTTTAAAGATGGTAAAGGCCGAAACACTAACAGAATATGCGGTATTTGTTAAGAACTCTTTAGAAGCAACCTGTAACGACTGCAACTGATTCGTTTGAAGCGAACGTTTTCTAAAAACTCCCAAAATAAGTGACCAGGCAAGAATTCGTACCCAACAAAAACATAGTAATGACTTGTAATTACTATTTAATAACTATTAAGTACGAACTATTAAAGCGAACGTTTTCTAAAAACTCCCAAAATAAGTGACCAGGCAAGAATTCGTACCCAACAAAAACATAGTAATGACTTGTAATTACTATTTAATAACTATTAAGTACATACCACCAGCATTACTTAGAAGCAGTGTTGCCTGGAGCTTCTGGAAAAAAGTCCAACTCGGACTTTAAAAAAGCCCAGAAAAGGCTAAAACTTTTGAAAATATGGCAAGAAAAAGCCTAACTTTTGATACATTAAGATCTGTAATTGTATAGTTATTATATGATATCCTAAACCAATGACATTCAAGAGGTCTAGCATGGCACTAGATCCAAAATTACCAATTCTCACAGAATTTATTAAAATGTTTATATTTGTATTGAATTCTAAAAAACTGCGTATGTATCAAACATATTCTCGTTCTCTTTAATAATTAAAAAAATCGATTTTTACGTGTTAAAAAATATATTTCAAGTGTTTCTCTAAATTAGGCGTATACTTAATATTTGTAATATCGATAAATCAAGCCCACGTATACGTACATGTGTCCTCAATAAAAACATTGCATTTTTCCACTTTCCACGACGTTTTTTAGTCTATATGTTTACAATTTTTGTTCTTTATGACAAGTGATACAACTTTGCCTCAGAGAGTAAATCCAAATTCCGAACGGTTTGCAAGATATGAGCCTGAGAAAATTACCTTTTTTTTGCAAAAATGACACTGAGGCCCCTAATCTTTTGGGAGACACGGTTTTATGGTCTTTTATCAGGTAGTGGCGAACAAATGCACACAGTGTAATTATGAAAAATAAGAAAAAAACTGATAATTGTAATCAAAAGATAATACTACTTGTTATACATTTGTTATAAAAGCTCTTAGAGTTTTCAAATCAGGAAAGATTTCTTAATATTCTTATCATAGGCTAATTTTAGACTTTAAAAGGCTAAATTGGCAACACTGTTTATAAGGTGTCTAGTAAACTAATACCCAGTAAAAACTTTCATTACCATGTAAGGGGCTAAAATGCTAAAATTCTCTTACACAATAGCGTTTTAAAGGCCCAAATAGACCACACAAGCGGCTTGACAAACATACTTTTTTCATTCCCACACACACACTACACAAACATTGCTCGTAAGCATTTGTACAAACACGAAACACGCTCATACACTACACAACAGGCTTGCACAAACGCAGAAAATTGCACATCTCAAAAACAAAACTACTTACTTAACTCCTTATTTGCAGACGATCGTGGTAAGTACCTACCTAGCTCTCCACCTGTAAGCGAGCATGGTAAGTACTTACCTCTAAAATTTTAGCATTCAACCACTTACTTTTCAATGTAAGCTTTTGCTGGGTGATATTCCATAAACTATTTAGAAAGAAGTGGTTTGAAAGTTTTACTTTACAAATCATTTATTCTAGAGGTTGTTGAAAAACACTCTCTTCCTCCGATACGTTTCACTTCAGTGTGCTGAATTAAAATTTGTTGAAAGGGTTCATAACTATGCTTTCAA